TCCAAGAGCGAGCTGGGTGATGCGAAAGGGGGGGAGTGGGAGGGGAACACGATTGGTGCAGCCTGGTTGTACGACGTGATGAAATGGGTGAGCCAACCCGAGGAGCTGAAAACGAGGGCGCAGCTGAGCGTGGGAGTCTTATAGAAGTGAGATCCAACATGCCGACCAACTTCAGACACGAGGGGGGGTCAGGGCGGAGTCATCAGGATATGAAAAGTGAAATGCGGCACACCCATTTCTGAGGCGGTTGGGCACACCTCCATCAGAGGGAGATCAGTCACGCCGGGCAAGGTGAAGCGATAGGCTGCCTGGTTTGCCTGGCGAGAGACTCGAATGACAAGAGAAAGTGGAAAGGCGGTCACCCGCCCCAGGCTGAGCGCCTTGCTGAAGCTTCAACCAAGGATGTCCACACTTGACTTGCCAAGTTGTGTGCGGTGACTGACCGACACGCGAGAGCCAGAGAGACAAGAGGAAAGACCCGGCTGAGCAGGGAGGAGAAACATGTCGCGACAGATGCACGCAAGAGGAGACGCAATGCCAGACGCAAGACGGCAAAGCCAGTGGTGGGCATGCGCGGTTTTGGGACGCACCATGCAAGGCACTCGACCTTGCATCGAGGCTCCCCAGTATCGACAGCCTCAACATGTACGTCCGTCCCCTCTCACTGCCCGATTGCTCCAACCACGCGTTGAGCGGGCGGGGCGGTAGTGCACGATATGGCGGCATGGGAGACGCCTGATGCGCTTGTCTAGAGTGTCTTGGAGAGGATCACCTCGCAAATGGCGGCGCTGCTTCATTGACGGGTCCGATTAGCGGCTGCTGCACCTTGATTTGGGTCGATCTGGTGGGTTCCCAACTGGGCTCTGCCGTCATTTTCGAGTAGTACACCATACCATCAAGGGCCAAGTTGGACGGGGTTTGCGGGAGAAAAGCTGATCTGCTGATCAGGTGCCCGTCTTGGCAATCGGTAGTGGCTGCCACCCCGTCTCAGCTTACCCAACCCTGTTGATGGTGTTTTGGTAAGAATCGCAGCACCAGGAGGCCGCTTCGAGGCATTTGGGGGCCTTGTGAACACCCACACGCGTGGAAGGGCGTTGCCACCATGTGGCTCGGCGTATGGCGACGAGTCCGTATTCGCGGCCATCCGGGAGGTAGTGATGATGGGTACATGTGAGACGGGGGGTCGGAGGGTCGGAGTGCCGGGCCAGGATTGTGGGTGTGCGTGGGTGATCGACTGAGCAAGAGAGGACGGGGTTGGAAGGAGGGGAAGACGGCAAGACTTGGAATGAGCAATCAAGGCCACTTGGCACATGCACCAATCCTGCTGCATCTCGAGTGTGGAGGTTGGGCGATCGCGTATGTTCAAGCGAGAAGATACAGCCCGCCTTCATTCCTCTGTTGTTTTCTCTGCGACAACAAGGCGATCTTGATCAACTGCCCAACCAAAGACAGCATCTCACCGCCGGTCAGCTCATCGCACGTTGTTGCTGGCATTTCTCACTGTGGTCATTGGTGGGCACTGCGACCCACGACGATGAACATGTCGGTATACGGCTGACTGGTTTGCGACACGGGACGATAGACGGCACATGGCGACCTGGGCGGCGGCATGGACACAATGCAGCTGCGAACGAGTCTCACATATGGCTGCGGGCACCAGCCCACGGCTGGCTGTCTCATCGTGTTGGTCGCGGTCGGAAGGTCCTAGACTCTCACCAGAACATCTCTATCCCTCGTTCCATTCCAGCCATGTTCCGTACTTCTGAACGCTGTTCCAAACATTGTGGATGATGTGTTTGTCGTTTGGTGGAGACGCCAGCGTTGGAATTCATCAGATCTCAAATGTCGCACTCCGCTTCTTCAATTGCCGCTTCCCTGAGGAAGTCATGGAGCTGGAGCGCATTGACCATTGACGTGAGATACATGCCCCTTGTACTTATCCAGCGATTCTCATACAGCACGTCTGTCATGGGCAGCGAACCTACCTAGGTACCTTGAATCCAGTGATTCGAGGGCATTCGGTCTTTTCTTGGCGCGATCAATGATAAAGTGGTATTATTTTCGGATAATGTTCGTGAAAATAGCTTACGAATAATCGCGAATCTCCAAGCCTAGGCAATCCATCAAGTGCTGGCAACCGGAATGACTTCCGAAGCGAATGCTGATTGCACACCCACGTCCTCGACGAGGAATATCTTCGTCGCATGACAGACAAGCTTTGGACCTTGCTCGGCAAGAACGTTGACTGGACTTCCGAGCATTGTTTTCCCCAGACATTCAACCGATGGCTCAAAGTCTAGACATATCCAGGCGGACCATCACGATCACACCGTAGACGCAGTTCCTTCTGACGGTCAACAGGGCTCATGCAGGCAATGGGATTGCTATGAGCCGTTGGCTTTCCACAAGTGCGTTTAACCGATCATCTCCTCGTCTCCGTCTCCGCCGCCCATCCTCCTCCGTAACCTCGTGGCGTCTTCGTCACGTTTCCTTCTCTCCAGGCCCTCCTTGATCCACGCCTCGTAGGCCCCATTACCCGCCTTGACCTTCTCGCCAACAACCCCCTTCATGACCTCTCCGGCGAAGCCCACGAAGTTATGCCTGCGCAGGGCATTCTCCCACTGCCACTGCCGCCTCTTCTCGGACTCGCGCGCAATCGTCTCCTGATCTCCAATCTCTGCCGCAGCGATCCTCGGGTCCCTGACCATAGCCAGGACGTTGAATCGAATCTCACTGCTCGCATATGTGGCTACGCGGTCTGATAGGATGCCTGATATCTTGACGGGAAATTCTTCCGGAGTGCAGTCGCCATGTGAGATGGGTGCTGGCTGCAGTCCGTCAAGCTCGTACAGCTTGCCTCCAATAGACGAGTAGGCGACAAAGTGGAACGCGTCCTCGCCACCCTCGTCGCCCCTCTGCGTCTCGTCGACGAAAGGGCTGCTCTTTGCGAAGCTGTTATGGACCTCCCGAATGAGCTCCGAGTTGCTCAGGGCCTCTCCGCGGAACTCGGGTGGTAGGGCCATGGCGAATTCACGGAACTCGCCCAGGCGATCACCGATATCGACTTCATCGTTCTTGTTCATGACCACTGACAGAAGGGCCTGGGTGCCGCAGGCGTTCTGAATGGTCTGGCGCGCAAAAAATAGACTTTCGGCGGCGTCCTCGTCGTAGGACTCTTTGGGTCGCGGAGGCAAGCCCTCGGAGGGGTAGCGGAAAAGGAAGATGATGCCATAGACAGGCTGAAGCGGAGCAAGGTCGTCAGGTGAGAGAGTAAGGAGCTCCTCGAACTGGACCCCTTTGACACCGAGATTCTCGAGGAGATAAGTGAAGACGCCGGCGTCCGACTCGACTGCGAAGAGGTACTATGTCAGCGAAGTATTGGAGGAGAAAAGCGAACGGCGGTGGCATACTCGTGTTCCACCCGCCACTCATCGTGTCGTAGGCTGCGAAGGAAATGACCTAGGTTCGTATCGTTGTGGAGATGTTTATCGCAGATATCCTCGCTGATGCTTCCTGGAAAAGCCGCGCTGTTTATTTCAGCTTTTCTTGCTGCAAGAAAGAACGTTGCATGGGCTTGGAGAAAGCAATTCGTCCGCGATTGAGGTTGGAAACGGGCGATCCACCGTCCAGGCACATCATGTCGCGCCAGACAGAAGCTCTGGTGGGTCTGGGAATTCGAGCAAGTACGGCGGGCTAGAAGTGCCCAATCTTCATCGATTGCGTCACTTCCGTACCGTCCTTGCACCTCATTTTGTGGGCTTCGCAAGTGCCATCTTAGCTCATGCCTGAATATTAAATGTCGATGATTAGTCAATGATGAGTTCCCGTCGGCATTCCGTCTCGACTATCCGCTCGAGTCCCCTGACGTCGCCCCCTGTACACCGGAGACAGAAAACTCATCAGTCCTGTTGTTGAACCTAGCAGTCCGACATCAACCAGCTACGAGCATGCAGTCACCATTCCCAGAGGTCTAGAACCGGATATAGGGGTTCTCACGTAGATCCTACGATTGCACCATGGTGACAATGTTCGTGGACAACATTACTTTGAGATGCTCTAGCTATTGCGTGCAATAGACCGCCACCAGATGTCTATCTACAAGGTTCTGAGTCTCTCGCAAGGGCTGTTTTGAGCTCCCAAAAATACAAACTCCGAATCATCGCACAAGCCGAATAGTTTCTGGTCAACCTACGGCGTCCATTGGCCCATTCTTGTAGCTTTCAGCTTGCATCTCAAGGTCACTGTGACCGTCTCGTCCCAACTTGGTGCCCGCAACAGACTTCCTGCTTACGTTCTCTCAGTGCATTGAGCGAGGGGTGACAGCCCGATGGGGGGAGGCCGCGCCCTCACGATTGTCGTCGTAGGCACTTTCGTGTTCTTGTATGGTGGACCGTTTGCTGACTTCATCGATCTCATCGGGGGCGTCGTCAGAGCCTGCAATGCAACCTTTGTTGCGGACAGCCCGGACGAACCAGGGCGGTTTACCCATACCATAACCCTTCCAAGACCAATACTCCTTCGAGTCGTAGTCACGAGGCTCCAGGCGTCGTCCGCTAATATAGACGGTCAGTGCAATGAGGCCGTTGAGTACCGCATAGACGAAAACGCCCCTAGAGTAAACATGTTAGTTCATGAGCGAGGAACGAAGGAATCACACATACGCTATGAGACCATACGCGACACTGTAGGAAAACGGAATAAAGGTCATGACGACAAAAGACGGAAGAACGTCTCCCATGTATCGCCAGTTGATCTGACTGATTTGCCTAATCATCATGCAGCCAACAAGCACAAGGGTACAGCCTGTAGCCCAGGGGGGAATCGACGCAAAGATAGGGGCAAAGAATATAGACACCAGGAAACAAAGTCCAGTGACCATAGCTGTAAGTCCTGTGCGGCCGCCCTCAGCAATGCCGGCACCGCTTTCAATAAAAGCTGTGACAGGCGAGCACCCGAACAGCGCACCGATGGAGATGCAAATGGCGTCGCAGCAGTAGGCAATTGTCGAACGAGGAAAATCGCCATCAGTGGGGTCGACAACACCACAGAACCGAACCATTGAGTAGAGAGTGGCTGTAGCGTCGATGATGTCAACGTAAAGGAACGTGAAAAGGGCGACGGAAAAGTGTGTCTTGTCTGCCGATATGTCCCAGTTCAGCACATTGAGGATGTGCTCAATAGGGTGGAATGTGACGATCTGCTTGAAGAACTCAAAGCGTGCCTCGCCGTCTTCGGTATACGGGAAGTAGGTGATATCTGTGTTGCGACTTTCAGGTGGTTAGTATATGTCGAAGGCGTAGATAAAAGAAATACCCACGGCCATGACAGGATGGATACGAGGGCGATGCCGATAATCAGGGCATATTTGACCCGAAAAGACATCAGGTAGGCAGTGACAATACCGCCAGCGAATACAGCCGTCCACATCTGCAGTTTTGTCAGTCAATCAATTTGTTGATTCCATATGGTCTAAGTCACTAACCTTAGGGCTTGACATTATGCCACCGTCGCACATCTGAGTCAGTGGGTTAATCTGTTCTATCGGACATCCAGCAATGGCCAGAGGGGTGGCCTTGAAGCCTCCAGTTATGGCACCGATACCTGCAGCATACGAGAGACCAATCTCTGTGAGAAAGAAGCCAATGCCGACGCCTGTGGCGGTCTTGATAGTCGCCGGGATCAGTTTGACCAGCCATTGACGCAAGCCGGTCAAGGCAAGAACGATGAATATAAGCCCTTCGACGAAGACTGCCGTAAGCGCTACCTCGTAAGAGATGCGGCCTGAACCATTGGGTCCCACGACTTGGAAGGCAAAGTAAGCATTCAGGCCCATTCCGGGTCTGAACTCGCATTAGCCGAGACCTACTATAGGACTGCAGAAGGGAAAGAGTAGAAAGAGACTTACGCCAGAGCGACGGGAAGGTTGGTCATAAAGCCGAAAAGGAAACTTGATAAGCCTGAGATCGCAGCAGTAGCGGTGATAAGATCGAGACGAACTCCTGAGGGTCGTAGGTAAGCGTATGCCACCCAGTCAAACCGAGAGTTTGACGTACGCTCCTTGCACTTCTTGTACGAGTCAAAGCTGTCGCAGGAGAGGCGATCATCCTGGTCACAGGGGCAGGTGCCCCCAGTTTGTGACAGAATGATAGCCTGTAGCAATTATCCATCAGTGTTAGAGGAGATGCAGTCGAAACGAAACACGGCCATAATCATTGGATCTACTTACATTGACGGCAATAATGTAGGCCATGGTGGCAAAGGTCGTGAATCCTGCTCGAACCTCCTTGAAAAAGGTCGCGCCAGAGACCTCTTTAGGCTGTGAAAGTCTGGGTCAGCATGCACACCGAAGAAAGTGATTATAGACGAGAGGGTAAGTGAATGGAAGAAAGATACATGGCCGCTACCCTCAAGACGGAAAATACGTCCAAAGGTACTCTTTCCGATGCGCCTGTCGGCTCTGTCAAACATGTTCCCGACGCGGCGAAACTGGATCTTTATGCGAGCCCATAACGTTTGCTGCTGGGCCGAAGGGGCCTCGGCGTGCTCGAGAGGTTCCATGACCGAAGACTGGATCTGCTTTTCGAGTCACAAGATGAGGGTCTTGCTATTGTTGGAAGGTAACTGACGTGGTTAGGGTGTTATCGACTCGAATGACCTGGTGCGTAACAGTGTTTGGTAGGGGATGTGCCCAGGACGTCGGAAACGGTTGTTCTGACGTTAACGAGAAGTGGCGAGATAGTTTCTAGCCAGGTGAGAAGATCGAACCAAGCGTCAACACAGGCCAGGGATTAGGTGAAGCAGGAGTCCAAGACGACCACGTCTTGCATAAGACGAAGGAAAGATGGAAAAAGGACACTGGACCAGGAAAAAACTAGTAGGGGCACCTAGTTTGCCTCAGACTTGTCCTTTCTGATTGTACGAGTGACTCGAGGGGAAAGGTGCTCGCTTGGAAGACGAGAGGGGGTGGTTGAGGAAGGCCTTGGACACACAAAGTGAGTACACTGGGAAAACTCGTGTGGAGAATCAAGTCGAGAAGGTGAGAGGAAGGAGAACCCCGGAAAGGCGGGTACCGCAATATGCTTCCCTGTCGCCAAAGCTATTGTGGCTGACGCTGTTCAAGGCTGGGGAGGAGCAACCGACGATGCGGCTTGGTGAGAACACGACCAGGGGTTTCAGTAAGGTAGGCAACGGCGGAATGTCGCGGAACCGCTTGTAAGTGTGCTGGCATCATGAAGGCTGCGAACGATTGAGGATTCGTTGTCTGACAGGAGACAAAGCAAGGGCATGATTGGACGTAGACAAGAAGGTTAATAAAAATGTCAGCTGCTCATCTGAAGACAAGACCGAAGCCCACGACCTGTAACATGTAATTTTGAGGCTTTTCCTCCAGGTCCGGTGTCTCAATATCCTTTGATGGACAAGGAAATGCTCATTCGACTACCCATTGCCTGATCACCGTCAAGTTCACTCATGAAGAGAACCCATGCGCATTATGTACTCATCATCGCGAGTCCCTGACGGCCAAGCTTAAGCAATCATCAAAGACGACCATGTTGGTCGTTGACTGTTGCCTTGAATAGGGGACAGAAGCCAAGAGAGCGGTCTGTCCCAGGACCAATGACTTGCTTCGAGAAATGTCGAGCATGTCTCATGAGCTGCGAAAGCTTTCACGAAGCGCCACCTCTGTGAATAACCTTGGCTTCATAGATCTAGTCACTTTACCTCAACAAGCAATGTGCAGTGGGCGCACACGAGAGTATGTCTTCGAGCTCAATTCTCAAGCCTGATATAGACCGCGATCATAACGATGCCGTTTATGGCCGCGGCTCCAAGATCTTCTGGATTCCACGGCCGCAACTGCAGCATTGCTTTCTTTTTTGCTTCCGAGCAACACGTCGTCCTTGATGTGCAAACCGACAGCATCTCATCTCCCGCCAGGCGTCAAAAGGCCACACAAGGGCCAGCATGAATGCTCGAGAATCTTTGTGTTCCCTTTGCTTTAAAACCCGGTCTTGGCTGAGCCAAGGGGTAAGCAAATTGAGCTCTGCAAGTCTGCAACTTGCCATACTCATGTCGTACACCTCGGACGAGACATGTCTCCCGGCTCCATGATAGGGTCAGTTGAGCCCGGGTTGGCGGGAGTACGCATGAGACATGCGGATAAGCTTGCAAGCACCGAGATTTGGACTGTGGAAGCCGACCAGGGTCCCAGCCGCCGCCAGCTTCCTTCTCCTCTACGTCTCTCGACGTAGGTTGTTGTCGCTCAGTACCATGGCCATATCGATCCTGTAGTTTACTCCAAGGCAGCCGACTTTGCAAGTCATTGGTTGGTAGACAAAGGTCATAATCCTTACGAACAGTTATGTGTACACTCCTCAGCAGACACCTAAAAGATCTTGCCGCTCGATCTCGCCCCTATTCGCAGACTGCTTGGCAGAGACGTGCATGTCGGCTGTTCGAGTAATGAGTGTAATGTGATTTGCCCACGGCTTCTCTCTGCTCAAACAAATCTCTTTTGATTTCGTGCAGTCCAAAGACCATCCATCAATCCTGATGTACAAGTATGTGGCTAAGCAGACCAGATGCAAATTTCCCGCATGGCAGGGACATCTGACTGTCAGGACTTCGTAGCTATCCTTCCATGGGTTGGATGCCACGACCTTGGATGTCTCTGGCTGCTGACTGAGAAGTCCTCATGGTCCATCGAAGCCATCATCAGGTGCGTTCCTCGGGATGAAGCAATGATGGTGGAGTGCTGTTACGTTGTGAAAGTATGCTTTTGGGCAATTTGCGAGTTTGGGGTGAAAATTTGGGCGAAAGTCCCGAAAGGATACAAATTTCACTGCCGTTGAGATTAACATCAGTCCGAGAGCACCGGACCTTGCGTGAGCCTGCCCACGGTGTTGACATAGGGGACCTAAGCGAGGCAATCGCCACTGCAACTTCGGTGGGGGGCGCTATTCTTTCACGTGCCCAGTGGCTTGCCAACTTCATCTTTACCTTCTCGTCCAGACAGACTGCCATGCCCATCAGATCCGGAACATCTTTTCCCTTACTCCATCATCGAGAGCACACACAGGCATCTACAAAGGAAAAGTAAAGGAAAGCCCCACCACAACCTTTTGGGTATCTGTACACAATCATCCATGCAGTAATTCGGGCCTCCATAAACTCCCTTCAGTCTGTACTTGCCTGGGCAGGTATAATGATGCTTGAAGCTTCTGCGATCTCAAGGAAATGTATTCGGTATCAGTCTGTATCAAAACTGAGCGTCTTCCAAGCGAGTTTTTTCGTCGTGGCCCTGCTAATTAAACCTACCGTCGCGGGGTCCAAAGTAAGCTCTGAGCGATCTTCAGCTCCATCGTCTATGAACTACGCCGACTGCCCCCAACTCTGTTCTCTCAAGGTCTTGCGTCATCAGCACGGCTCAGGTGGATAAGGCTGGGCAAAAGAAAATCGTTTACGTTTCTGTTATGGGCAGCGAGCCCGTCGATGGAGATGCCTACCTGGGTATGACCCGCTCCCATCTGGTCCGACTAGCCAAGCTGGTTGTCTGCCGCTTATAGGACAGCTTGGCAACGCGGAAGGCAGCCTGCAGTGTTATCGAAACCAGGACGAGCAAACAACTTCGTCCGTTTCGATCATTACCGCATGTTACTCGAGACTGTTTAGCATAAAATCTCCACGCGATTGAACGTCCTTCCTGTGATGTTGCTCGCATTGCAGGCGATAGTCTGGAGAATTGACATGCGCCTCTAAGGTTGAACTCCAGTCGCCATACAGAGGCGTGACCCAAGTGTCCCGCAATGAGTACACTTACTCCATACACATGGCAATAGGTCTTTGCCTGGCCCACGGCTAGGACAAGGCCGAGCTTCTTCATGCCTTTCCTTCGAAGTCGATAGGTGTGCTGACAGAAGGTTCTCCAACCATCTGTGCGAGGATAGTCGGTGTCAACCCGAAGCGTGATATATGCAGGCGAGGAACGGAGCCGGATTTCTAGTGGCGCCTGCTCAACTCAGCAAGGAAGGGACAGGTGTATGTTGATGCCTGTTTTACTATCCGTCATGGGTCAGTGGTGGTGCCACTCGATTGATGTGGTGCATTTCGAAGGCTAGTGCCATATGAATGTATGCCCTGGAGTAGAATTCGCACGATTCTATACTGAGTGTTCTGGACGATATATGATTACTTACTCTCTGGGTGCCTGAACGCTGTCCTTCATACTTCACATATAGAAGCACGGCAGGACCGCCTGAGACCCCTCGCCACGGCTGATACTGGTTTCAAGGTTGCAAGTCGCTTCATGCACTCTTCCTGGGGCCAATCAACGACGCCTTGGTCTCACACAGCTCAATTTGGGTCATATAACAAGAGATAGCAGATTAGATTGACGGACATGGCTGACCGTCTCGACCAGGGGACCAGGATCATGGTGGTAACGCAATAAGGTGCTTAAGCTGGATCAGGCAGGGTGCTCCAGCTACAAAGGTATTCGGTCTTACGCAAAGACCATCCACTGGCTGCGGCATACCATGGCATGTTCGACGTCGCACTTATATTCACTCGGCCCTCGCCCCCCGCAAGCCTAATAGCGTGTGTGAGAGGCAACGGAAATACACTTTAGCGTGGGACTACGAAGACGTCGGTAGGCTATTGGTCAAGTTGATCGAATCTCAACTGGAAGAAGCTCACTACCCCTTGGCTTGTTGCATGTTCCTGAGGCCAACGAGCGGTAGGGCACCGTTCAACTTGTTTGCACACGGAGGTCAGTAGGGCACACATGCCACTGAGAAAGCTCTTTACTTCCATATTGTGCCGCGAACACATCGCATGCGAACCTCTCCATGGTGATTAGCTTCCTGTCGATTTCACTGTCAAGGCAGTGATTGAATGGGCATGGAATCCCAGCACTGACTACGCAGCGATGAGTCAATAAAGAGGCTAGCATCGCCTTGGGCGTCACCCTCCTTCCATACCTACCTGCCTAGGTATCTACCTAGTCCGTACTTTCCTCACTGCCCCTTTTCCGCCCTGTGAGATATCCAAACCCTCCGCTGCTCTTGCCTCAGCAGTCCATACTGGGTATTGTCACAGGCTCTGATACACTGGTGGCGTTCTACTTCGGCGAAACGTCCCCTCATCCCCTCTCTTCCTGCTTTCTTCCTCGACAGTCATCTTGAACGTATGTTGTGACACACCTTTCCATCTTCTACTCGCAGTTCTTATTCCGACCTGCCTTACGAATCT